TCAAACAGACCATAAAGCAGGGGATGCTTTAGGGCGGGGCTACACGTGATTGACAGGTCTCTACCAGAGACGTATATGGCGTCTCTACGTCTCTCCTCCTCAGTCCAAATATGGTCACTTCCATTCATTGGTTGGGAAAAATACAACATGGCGACGACCGTAATCAAAGATGGCGAGGGCAAAATAGCCGAACACGACGCTTTCCCCCCTCATTCATTTCTGCTCGTATCCATTTTTCGCCGTTATCAGATTTGACCTGTGGCGGCGCATCTCAAGAGAGATTTGGGGCCTTAACCGTCAGTGGGATTTGTTTCCTAAATGTGCAGTTCAACTAAAGCAGGACGTACCTCATGACGGACACGATGTGGTCATCCGGGCCCATGACCATGACTTGGGCGGCAGCCGCACCCGTCTCCAAGGTGAAAGATGGAGCGTAATGGCCGACGGGGAAGGCCTGAGAGTCGTTGATCATCTGGCGGAGTAGGGAGGCCTGTGATTTACTTGGAGGTGGGAACAACAAAGAAGCAGGGATCAATGACGATGCCTTATAGAACTAAGACAGACGGATACATTGTATGTTTAAAGATGATACGGGGGATCTCTACCTCAGCATCTTGGTGACAACCTCTGAGATAGAAGTGTCATACATGGGGTCTCCCAGTCCACTAGCAAGGGCAAGAGATATCTTCAGCGCCTGGGAGAGGAATGCAGAATTAACAGTTCAGTCACAGTCGTACGGATTACTGCACTTTGCTCACTGTTGTACGCCGTGTCGTGGGGAAGCGGCTCGTAGCGTTACCTCTGCTATCCAGTGGTAGGTGCTGTTTCTGGGCACCTGGCTGGTTATGTTGTAGCCTTCCAGGATGTTGAGAGCGGCGATCAAGGCAATACCTGCATGTGGAGCCGGGGCCGCCATCACATGGTGTCCTTCAGACACAACCATTGAAAACATGTGAGGATTTCAGTGGCAAAATAACATAGAAGTCATTGCAGTCGTTCACTTCAATTTAAATCTCAAATCACTTCTCGGATTTCTACAGATGCAATATCTATAAACTGATTCTACGTTCATATGTAGATATAGATGTCCGTTTCTGAGCGCTGCTCGTTTATCAACTTGAGATGCGAGACTGGAGTCAACGTGTACGATCCAGTTTATAAGCTCATTTTAAAACCAATAAGAAGCTAAAGTATCGTCAGAAGATAGCTGGGCTGTTACCAAGTCACATTTGCATTCAACCAGAGCCTGCATCTGTCTTGAACATCTGGTTCAAGAAACAAACCTGATTTACCTGCAATCTGAACAAAAGCCCTGAAGGCTCATAGCTTCTATTTAATAAAGAGGGCAAGTTTTTAATGTTTTGATGAATATATCTATGGAGAGTGAAAACTGTATTGTGGGAATAAAAAGGAAGGAATTTAACAGCGATGTCTCCCACTCTTAACTGTAGACATCAACTTTATTTATTCTTCAGATTAAGACGGTGTGTTTTACCTTGATAGATGATCTCTGCTGGCTGCTGTAACACTGTGCTGTAGTTTCCAAAGTCGTCCTCTGAGAGCACTCCGCCTCTCGCTTGCACCTATTTAAAATATGCAGAGTTTAACATTTTAATGAGTAATCTTTGTCCTGCACACTGTCATCACTAGATGACATTGTATTGTCAAAAACATGTCGGTCATCTAGTATTTTACTATATCCAAAAGTTCATCTACTAAACTCAAAGTTTACAATTTTACAAAGTTTACCAAGAAACCCTAAACGAACAAAAGCATAAAAGCTCTCCAGTGGGACAGAGACTTCAAACTAAGTTTGAAAAATAAAATGCAGGAATCAGAACACGATCGGTATCATACAGCTTCTTCAGTTCTTATGGTTATGAAACTGTGACTTATTTAACCGCAGTTAAGGTCAGATCGGTTATCGATACAATAGAGCCATGAAAAATATTGCAATATTATTCTGTATGGAGTTTTGCCCCCACCCCTGGTTGTGTGATGATATATTAACACTCTGAAAGTTAAATACAGCTCCTTTAAGTTAGTACGTGCTTGTAATCATCACTTATATATGATTTCATCACGATATGATTCCATTGAAAGACGATAAATGATCATATTGAATTATTGTCCAGCCCTATCTTCATATAAATCTGTGAGATTATTGTGTTTACCTAATAAATACCATCTTCGTTGTTACGACAGTACTGAATTATCACTTCACCCCAGCAACAATGTAAAAAGCCGAGGTTAAAGAGCACTGTGCAGTGGGTCTATGCAGAATTCATGACCACTTATAAAGTCACAGTTGGAGATGGGGGGGGGGGGGGGGGG